TTACATAAAAAGACAAAGATACAATAATAGGGGGAAGTAGGTAAAAGCAAAAGAAATTACCTCACCTTTCGAGGAACTTGTTGTTTGGTGAAGCACTCACAGACTTTGTGAAAGAAGACATTGAAGTGTTTTCTCACCCACCCTCAGTTCATTTGAAACAATAATACTGTTGCTGTTTTTGTTAAGTGCCATTGAATTAGTTCAGATGCACTGTTATGTGCTGTGGAGTCGGGTCCAACTCATAGTGACCCTGTAAGGGTTTCCGAGGCTGTAAATCTTTATGGAGCAGAAAGCCTCATCTTTCTCCCATGGAACAGCTGGTAGTTTCGAACTGCTGACCTTGAAGTTCGCAGCCCAATTCGTAACCACTACGCTACCAGAGCTCCTTAGTTCAGACTCGCAGCAACTCCGTATAGGGTTTCTGAGGACCAGTTGGTGGGTTTGAACCACTGATCTTGTGGTTCACAGTCCAGTGCTTATCATACAGGGCCACATCAAGAGTCCATATATGCACTAAGTAGTTGTAACTGAACCGATTCTAGATTTGTACTGCCCAGTAGCCATATTTGAAATTAATTTAAAATAAACCCAAAAATTCATTTCTTGAGTTTACTTGCTACATTTCAAGTATTAAAAACCCATACATGGCTGTTGGTTACTCTATTGGACAGGACAGATATAGGACATTTATTTCCATTATTGCCGAAAGTTCTATGGGACAATGCCATTATAATCAAGTTAGATAAAGTATACATTACCAAGAGATGGATTATGTACATTACCAAGATGGAATAATACAATGGCTGTGACAATGGGCAGAAGTATAGCAACAATTGTGAGAATGGTGCTGGACTGGCAGTGCTTTGTTCTGTTTCACATGGGGGAAAGTATGAGTCCGAATGGACGCAAGGAAGAGATGAGTTTATAGAGATATACAGAGGCCAGATTTCAAACAACTTTATATCTCTTGCTTTATTGTGAAAGTGATAGGGAACCATTGAAGGAAGCTAAACTAGGAAGTGACACAAATCCTGTTTATATTTTGCACAAATCACTCTGGAAGATGTGGCAGGAGAGATGGCAGAATAAGAAAAGAAGCAGGGAGGCCACATAGGAGTGTGCTTTAGTAATTTAAGCAAAATGAGGATGTTGCTGTTAAGTGTTGTTGAGTTGGTTCAGACCCATAGTGACCAAGGAGCGGCTGGTGAGCTTGAACTGCTGACCTTGTAGTTCAAATTAACATTGCAGTCCAGCAAATTAACCCACAGTGCCACACCAGGACTTCTGGTAGTTTGTACTAAGTTGGGGACAGATTCAGATTCAAGAGATATTTTAGAAAAGTAGAAACAACAGGATAGATGTAGTTGAGTTTTAAAGAGGTAACAGAAAAAATATGAAGCTGTTGATCAAACTGAAAACCACGTAGTTACAAATGTTCTCTGTGCCAGATGATTATCATTTGCTAAATTGCCCACTATGCCTAACACGCATTTGATAAAAGCCCTGAGAGATATGAACGAATGAGTCTCACTTCCATATATTGGATAGTGTCTGCTGAGCTGTGGCATAAAAGATGAGAGGCTAATACTTTATCCATTTTAGATCAGTGGATTGAATGGCAGGAGTCCCAAATTAGCAATATGACCATAGAAAAATCATATCATTTTTTACCTTATAAAATGAAAGATTCAGTGGTTTCTAAACTGACCCCTCCGGGGACTGTTGGAGGTATTTCAAAGGCCATCTGGATAGGGGTGGGGGTGTCTTTTCTAGTTGCAGGATTTTATGATTCATCATCTGCATGCCCTGTTTACTAAAATCAGTTACTGTGATGATCAAAGCAGATGGTGTGTCAGGAAATAATTTGTAAACTGTTAAGTGCTGAAAAAATATGGGACTATTATAATTTTGACATTAAGTTCTTTGCTTCAGTGCCAAGCCATTGGAGCTTAAATTTAAATATAATCTTAAGCAGAAATTGCTTAAGAGCTGAAAGCAAAGAAAGTAATAGATTATTCTCAGTGTAGAATAATTCTGAACAATAAAGTAGATAATAATTAAAAGAGCAATTAAAACTGAGCTCATTTTTTCCCTGAAATGTAGATTGAGTTTCACTGCATTATGTTGTTGCTGCTGTTGAGTGCCGTCGAGTCAGTTCTGTGTCATACTAGCCATGTGTAGGGTTTCCAAGAGTGGCTGGTGGGTTTGAACTGCTGATCTTGAAGACACCTGTCCAGTACTTATCCTTCAGTGCCAGTCCAGGACTCCACTGCATTACTGGAAGTCTTTCCCGGCAGTCTTTGCTTATGTGTATATGTGAATACACGGGAGCCCTGGAGGCACAGTGGTTCTGCAGTCAGCTGTAAACTGAAAAGTCAGCTTATATGTGCCCTTAAAGATGTGGCAGTCTGTTTTGGTAAAGATTACCACCTTGGAAACCAAACAGTTCCCTTCTATCCTACAGAGTGGCTCCAGGTTGGACTGACTCTGGCAGTGGGTCTGGTGCTTCTTCAAGCCTTTTCAAAGATTTAAAACCTGCACATGCGGCAAGTAAAGGGGGTTTTAATGAAGAGTTTGTTGAGCGTGAAGCTTGGTTTAAAAGCTAGGGCAAATTTGCACAATATTAAAGGGCAAGTACAAGTTGTCCAGCCATAGGCCATTCATAATCCAGGGACTTACTGTGCACTTGGTAATGGTAGAAGTGGAGCGAAGACATTTACAGTCCTCCTTGAGACCACTAGGGATTCATGGTAAATTGTTACTTGGAGACATTAGCCTGAGTCTATGGCCAAAAAATCCACAGAGAATTATTTTTTTAATTAGAAAACATCCTTTCTTTTTAACTGACTCTAAACACTTTGCTTACCATTTTTCAGTTAAGGTCTGCTGGTACTAGAGAGACACAGCCCAATTGTCTGGGTTGGGGTATAGAGGTACCACTGTATGAGGGTTATATGAAAGGACAGTGATGTGGGTAAGAGTAAGTGGTGGTGGTGTGCTGTGGAGTCAGTTCGATTCACAGCGACCCTGTGTAGGTTTCCAAGGCTGTAAATCTTTACAGGAGCAGAAAACCTCATCCTTCTTCCTCAGAGCCACTGGTGGATTGGAACTTCTGACCTTGAGGTTAACAGCCCAATGTGTAACCCACTACGCTATCAGGGCCCTGTAAGAGTTGTTGTTATTAAGTGCCGTTGAGTCAATTGCGGCCTATAGCGACCCTGTACAGGGTTTCCTAGGAGCGACTGGTGAGCTTGACCCTCCGACCTTGCAGTTCAAACCGACCTCGCAGTCCAGTACATTAACCTACAGTGACACACCAGGACTCCTCCTTAAGAGTGAGTTATACTAAATAATAAAAAAAATGTGGATAGATTTTCTGACTAAGTCTTGGTTTTCCAGAAATTTGCCTTTGAGGTATATTTAGTTAGGTACTATTAATACTTTAGGACCTCTGGATTTACAGCCTCAGAAACCCGATATAGGGTCGCTATGAGTCGGAACCAACTCCACAGGATATAACCACCACCACCACTTAATACTTAGTAGAGAATCTAAAAGTAAGTGGGGAAAGGTACTCCTTAAGTAGCCAAAAAGTTACTCATATTTAGGTACACACAACTCAGAGTCATGCTGTTGTTAAGTGTTGTTTAATTGGTTCCAACTCGTAGACACCCAGTATAGGGTTTCCAGGTAGCAGCTGGTGGAACTGCCAACCTCGTGGTTAACAGTCCAGTGTTTATCCTACAACACCACACCAGGACTCCTCTCAAAGACACATGACTATATAAAACCTATGTACCTTACTTGTGAGCGAGGTCCTTGCTCTGTTTGTTCTTATTTTAGACATAATTCTAATAATTGATTGCTGGTTTACTAACTCAAGAAGATTAAAGATAATATATTAATCAAGAGCAGTGAGTGAAGAGCAGGAACTAAGAACCAGTCATTGAAACAATGGAATATTTGTAATGTTCTCTGACAAAAACCAAACTCACTACTGTCATGTTAATTCCAATTCAGAGACCATGTAAGACAGAGTAGAATTGTCCCATCGGGTTTCCAAGGCTTTACGTCTTTATAGAAGTAGATTGCCACAGCTTTCTTCTATAGAGCCACTGCTGAGTACTTAAACCACTGCCCTCCCAGGGTTCCTGTCTATGAGTAAACTAAGGTATTAATGAGAAGAGACAGTGATTACAGCATTCTTATTCCTATTTGAGAAGCTTGCATATAGAATCATAATGGTCTTTTTTATGAGTCAGAATCCTTTTCATTTTCAAAATAACTAATATTGGAATTGTCTTCAATGTTATTACTAATAAACTATGTGTTACTACTATTCAGATATTTAACACACACACCAAAAAAATTGTCGAAAAAAGATCATTGGAAAGGGAAAAAAAAAAAAATCCTGTCTCTAGATACTTATTTAGTTTTTAAACGAGAGCCAGGATTCTTCATTTTAAAAGAAACAATTATTAGAGGGTATGAACAGACATTCCTGCACCATCCTGATGAGAACATTTTGCCTGTTGTCATATGTGAAGCTGACTTCTTACCTTGGTGTCTGTCTTTTATTGCTGTGAGCTACAAGTAGGCTTTTACAGAGCATAACTGTAACAAAGCAGATGTTGAGAATGATGTTGACAGCTATGGGATTGGTATCATTTCAGAATGCTTTTATAATCATTCACCTAAGGCTAAACGAAGTCAGAAAACTTCACTTGATTGAAGTATATTACTATTCTTGAACTTTATGGAGGATAACCCTTCTAAATTTATTATAATTAAGGATTACAGTGATTAAATGGCAGATTAGAAGTTTAAAATTATTAGAATATTTGTGGTAGTGGGTGTGAAATTGATGGTTATACACAGTCTTCATTTGAAATGGTTGAGTAGAAACTAGTTCCGTGGTTAAACCTTGCGTACTCTGCAGTCGTGTGATGTTTGTATTTATTTTTCAATGTCTTCCTTTTTGTTTGGCTTTGTTTAAACAGTGTTTGCCAGCTCGGAACCTGTACCAGGATTCCAGGGGGATACTCTGCAGCTAGCGTTCATTGACCTCAGACAAGTAAGATGTGATCATGTGCTTTCGCTTTCTTTCCTTCTGTCTTTACCCTCCCCCACCTTTTTTTTAAGCTACAAGGAATGCGTGTTTGCCTTGAAACAACCTCTTTTAAATAAGGTTTCCTGGATAACTATGTATCTGGCTCTTCTCTCTGAGGCTATATCCAGTCCTGGTCTCATCTTCATTGCTCATCCTCCTCAGTGACTGTTTAATTTAGTCATTATCTGCTAAACACTTAATGAAATGATAACTTTGTACTTTGGTTTAGTGACACTTGAAGTTTATATGATTTCTTAATGATTTCATGGTCTTATTTGAAAATTGGTGGTATTGACAGTAATATCAGAACCCAAGTTAAATGTCAATTATTATAACCTAGAAAGGAGCCCTTTGCTTAAAATTCCCTCTGTGATGAAGAATGCTATTTTAAAAAAGTAGTTTGCCTTCAGAGAAAAAGGATGAAACTAATTCTGAGAAGGTAATTACATCTTTACATAATCCTTTCCGGCCACATAACTAAATTTAGAACAAGTGTGCTCATTTTTGGTAGCATAGTGGTTACAAGTCGGGCTGCCAACCTCAAGGTCAGCAGTTCGAAACTACCAGCTGTTCCACGAGAACGATGAGGCGTTCTGCTCCCATAAAGATTTACAGCCTCGGAAACCCTTTACAGGGTCTCTATGAGTAGGAACTGACTCCACGGTACTTAACAACAACATTCATTTTTCTACTACTTCTATATTATTATTATTTATTTTATTTTCTTCCTTTTACACTTTTTTTCTGTCTACTCATTTTTTCTTATTATTCCTTTCTTTACCTTTCCTCTCCCCTGTTTCTTTGTTAATCCAAGGAAAAAGGGGCTTAATAAAGCTGGAGAGGCACACGGATGTGAAGGGAGGATTCTAGTTCAGGGGCTCAAGAGTGTGAGAATTGACAACAGGGGTAGCTGCTGCCCTTGGTAAGAAGAACCACCTGGAGGTAGAATTCAGTCCAAGTCACTGTCTAGTAGTGACTCATTAGGAGGATGCCATCCCTTCGGGGAGATGTACATGACTTGAGATGAGTGCGCTCACACACAGTTATGTTTGGAGCAGGACCACTGGAAGTAGTTAACGATCTCTGATTCCGTGAATGCTTGACAATAGAGCTGTTTTTGCTCTAATTCCAAAGCAGTATTCAATAAGTATTTATTGACTACTCTGTGTTCATTATTTGGAGAAGAGGAATGTAGTTGAAACAAACACAAAAATAATATGAGAGAGTTTCGTCTTTATGAAGCTTAAACATTCTTTAGAGAAGCAAAACACCCACGAACTGATTGGGAAGCCTTGTAGAACAATGAATCATTTGGAAATAAATGCTGCATCTTCAAATCAAGTTTAGAAGGAAACTGGAAAAGTCGTTCTTGCTTCTCAATTGTGTCTGTAAAGCACTGAATGTTGTCAGGTACCTTCGAGTCAGTTCTGACTTACAATGACCCTGAATAAGGTTTCTGATGAGCAGCTGGAGGTGTCAACCACCAACCTTGGGGTTAGCAGTCCATTGTTTATCCTACAGCATCACACCAGTACTCCAAAGCACTATATATATCAAATATAGTCATATTTGTTTCTTTTTGCAATCCATCCTCAGGTGTTTTATCAAAGAAGGAGCACTGTGTTTGATGATCTTGTTCTATAGATGATTGGATTTGCTAGTTTGGGAACCAAAAACCATTTAGTTGATTTCAACTTGTGGAGACTCTGTGTGTATCAGAGTAGAACTGTCCCCATAGGCAATAAAGGATTTTCAGTGACTGAGTTTTCAGAAGATCAGTAGGTCTTTCTTCTAAGGCACTGTGGGTAAACTTGAACCGCTGACCTCTTGGTCAGCAGCCAAGCATGTTAACCCTTTGTACCACCTAGGGACTCCTTGAGTTAGGGTGGTAGTTATTAAGTGCCATCAAGTCAGTTTGACTCATAGAGACCCGGTATAGGATTTTGTTGTTAAGTGCTGTTGAGCTTGTTTCAGCTCATAGTGAACTTGCACAGGGTTTCCAAGGAGTGGCTGGTGGGCTTGAACCACCAACCTTACAGTTAGCAGTCCAGTGCTTACCCAAAAGTACCACAGCAGGACTCCAGTTCTTTGGTTTTGTGTTGTTGTTCAGTACTCTCAAGTCGATTCCGACTCATAGTGACCCTGTATGACATTTCCAAGGCTGTAAATGTGTGCAGAAACAGAAAGCCTCATCTTTCTTCCATGGAGAAGCTGGTGGGATCAAACCACCGACCTTGTGATTATCAGTCCAGTTTGTAGAAAATGACAATACATTCTCAATGTCCATCCAGAAGAGAGTCCTTGGAGTAACACGAGCTCCACTTCCTTTAGAAGGAGTTCCCTTTGTTGATTAAGTAATATAGGAAAGTGGCTCCACCTCTCTGTACAAATCAAGGTTGGAAATAAGTATGATTTTATTATTTTCATTTCCCAGTTAGTTATTAGCTACTTCCTAGAGTAAGTTGCCCTATATCAGGATGTGAATATGTTCAGTAATCCAACTGTAAAGCCAACTGATTTGAGGATGACTCCTACTGTATACAAATAATCTGGTCACAGATCATTTAAAACATATGATTGATGTTTTCTCAGCTTTGTATAAATTTGTATGGTATTATCTAGTTTTTAAGGAGCCTGGTGGTGCTGTGTGTTAAGTACAAGACTGCTAACTGCAAGGTTGGAAGTTCAAACCCACCAGCTGCTCAGTGGGGAAAAGATTAGGCTTTCTGTTTCCATAAAGATATATAGCTTCAGAGATCCTATGCAGGGTCACTATGAGTTGGAATTGATTCTTTGCCAGTTGATTTGATTTGGTTTATATAAGTTTATGTGATATTAACCTGTGTATAATCTCATTGTAGGATTATAAATATAATCCATAGTTTATGATACTATTGGTAAACTCTCTGTTCTTGATTTGTCCAGAGAAGTGGTTGGCTCAATGCAGACTAAAACTTCGATGCCTGCTAGTTTGTTGCTTCAAATATAATCATTTGAGAGCAAAGAAGATTTCTTTCTTTATAAGCAATTAGCTTAATTGTTATTGTTGTTAAGTGGCATCAAGCTAGTATCGACTCATAATGACCCTGTATAGGGTTTCCATAGAGCAGCTGATGGGATTGAACTGCTGACCTTATGGTTCACAGTCAAGTGCAGGGAATCATTCTTAAGATGCACTTAAGAAACTCTGGTAGCGTAGTGGTTACAAGTTGGGCTGCAAACCTCAAGATCAGCAGTTCAAAACTACCAGCTGTCCCGTGGGAGAAAGATGAGGCTTTCTGCTCCCATAAAGATTTATAGCCTCGGAAACCCTATAGCGGGTCGTCATGAGTCGGAACCAACTCCACGGCACATAACCACCACCACCAAAAGTATTAGTAAACTTCTCAAGGTCTCTCCCTCTCCCACCCCACCCCATCCCACCCCCCAGTTTGATTAAATTTACTTTTCACGCATGTAGCACTTAGAAGGCAGTAAGTCCAGGTTGACTTTTCCTTACCAATATAATTTTTTTCCCAATGTAATTTCTCAAGAGGCTTTTAAATTAATAAAAAAGATCTATTATGAAACATGGATAATTGTAAAATATGTAGAATTTTGAAATTTATTATGAAAGATATGTTGCTGCTGGAATAAAAGATTTACTTAGAAAAGACTGTATAGGGTTGTTGTTGTTAAGTGCCGTCAATTCGGTTCTGACTCATACTGACCCTGTATAGGGTTTCCGAGGAGCGGCTGGTGAGGTTGAACTGCCAACCATGTGGTTCAAACTACCACACCAGGGCTCCATGGAAATGATTAGTGAAAAGAACAATTTTATGAGCCAATTTTTTATATGTCAGATTTTAAAGGGCTTAAAAAATCTCCCCTGATGATTAATGCTAAAATTTAATCGTACTCTATTTTTTGTACTCTAAAATGAGAAGATGCGACTTAATTGCTTCTTTACCTACTGGACCATTGTAGCTTACCTTGAATTTTATTTTTTCAGAGACTTAGATTTAATAAATCACTAAGAATAGGCATTTCTTAACTTATATTTGTTTTTTTGGATTAAGTTCCAAACAGTTAAGTGGTAAAATACCAAGAATAGAAACTGATCAAAGAATGAAATTAGTCCTGGAAACTACTGAGTCTCATATTAAATGATACAGTTTCTGTATCAGATGGCAGTGTAGTGATAGTTTAAATGAGATTGCCTTAACATTTCTGTAGTGTTTTTATGTTTCTAACTTTTTAAAGCTATTTCATAGTAGATTCTTTTTAATACTTTTATATGGAGAAGCATGTCGTCAGATTTAAAGGGGATGCTAACACCTTTATTTACATTTCAGTTGAGTTTCTGCAGTTTTCCTTTCTTTCTAGTCTGTGATCCATTTCTGTCTTAATAGGGCGGCTGACAGTTCTTTTCAAGTATACTTAGAAAGGCAAAAGAGTCCTTTTCATAGTACTTATGAGGGGTCATGCTTCTGTTTTTCAGTTTGAATTTGATACGGCTTCATGAATTGCAGGGTATGAAAGATTAGGAAGTAAGTCCAGTGGTCATATTTTACCTGCCCACCCGGACTTTGCCCTTAGGTCAAACTCCTGATATTGCTGTTCTGAATAGAGGAGTTGATGACAAGTATGAGCTGATACAAGAGGAAAGTTAGAACCATATCAAAGCTCAAGGCAAGAGAATTGGGACTCAATGAGAGACTGTGGCTAAAAGATGGATCATCAGGATTGCCCTTTTCTAAAGAAAAGGAAATAGTTGACCTGTGAGTGAAAAGACTTTAACATCCTGCCAATCACATACTGGCTGGCTAATAGAAGCCAGTTATCTCAACAACATTTTAAGGCCTATTGCACCAAAAGACAATGAGGAAGATTAGCAAGGACTGGTACTTCGTTATTTATGTGAATACGTTGCCTCAATTTAAAATGTGCTTTTTAAACATGATTTGTCTGTGTGCAATTTTTTT